ACTCCGTTTGACTCCAAAGATAAGTTTATTCTCAAATTTTTACTTTAATAATCTGCTTCATTCAATCGTTTACTTTGAATCTCGGCAAACTAACTCATTAATCATTATAAAACAGAGGAATGTTTGAATTAATTAGTTTTGCAAAAAATTTCTCATTCCTAACATCCTCGTTTTATTTTCACTTGTAAAATTTTAATATGTATGCTCTTTTTAGAAAGAATCCTATTACTTCCCTACAAACTGCAACTCTATCCTTATGACATGTGGCTTAAGTCTCAATTTCTACTCTTTTATTTTTTTAATTTTTACTGTGAGTGTTAAACAAAAAAAAAATCTAATTATTCGAGAAAAAAAAGAAAAATCAATTGAACTTCCCCCTAAACTGCTTATTCCCTCATGATCTCCACAAATCATTTGCACTCAGTTCTTCAACATCGAAACAACTTTATTTCCTACTATAATCCTTGATAGATTTTCCTTCTTTGGTTGTTTTTCTGCAGGTAAAAAAACTGAAAATTGGTCTTGATGTTCTCCGACGAATCTAACTAGGTCAGATGCTCACAATCAAAGTTTTACATCAATGGATATATTGATTCCGTCGAGCTCCTGACAAGGTAATCTCTTTGGGTTTTATCAATCAATCTCATATTATTCGAAACTAATATTTAATCTCAAATTTTCACTCTTTGCAACTCTAATGCAGAAAGTAGAGATCACCTGTTCTTCAATTGCCCCTACTCAAGTTCTGCTTGGAGAAATCTTGTCGCAACTGAATGCACGTCCTCATCGGAGCGACATCGGAGTTGTCACTTGTCCCTTCGGATCTTTGCCTAAATGGCCTCTTCGTGGGCTTCAGTCACATGGGGCTAGGTTACTTATCATTGGTTCTACGAGATTCTCTTAACGGTTAAATAATTTCATGGTTTCACTACTGGTTTACTTTTGGGAACAACAGTTAATGTATCAATATTTTAGCAAAAACAAAATCTATTTTTAATCAACATGTTTTATGTCCTTCTCATCACATATATTCGATTTCATTATATTGTCTCTTATTAGTCCTCGACCCGTGCAAGGCACGGGATTAACACTAGTTGTTTATAAACCTGATAGTGTAGTGTAAAATAACTCATTGATCATTTTTTAATGTCTAGAAGAAAATGAAAACTCA